CTTAAGTACCACCAGCTAAGAACGGTAGTAAATTTCTCAGTTTGCAAATTTTAAGGACCCTCCTCCCCCTCCCAGTGGCACAGTGGGATGGCTGGGGGCTTACAATTCAAGAAACCGGGTTTCTGTGCCCGTGGTGGGCAGAGCACGGATAGACCTTTATGTAGCTTTGTGCTTAACTACAAACAAACAAACAGGTTTTAAGTATTTGTACAATTCAGAGCAAAAATAGCGAGAAGTTTGGATATCGGGATATAATTTTCAATACAAATTTCTTTAAGGGGGGGGGGTCTATTAACTTTTGATTGAAATAACAATAAACGTATTCTCTTATCGTAATCCTTGTTTAATGATACATAAGTATACATATGAAGGGTTTAGGGTGTGTGACGTGATATACTTCCGCTGTACGTGCATTTCCTGTAACTCATTTATGGTATCGTAACCCATGTTGTCAGTTCAACATGAAATAAACTCAACTGTTGTATTATAAACAGAGATAAAAACAAGTCATCACTGTACATTTGCTCTTACCTTTTCACGAATAGAAGACAAACACGAGACGACATTTTACATTTGATACGTGGCAGGCGATATAAAAAAAAGTACTTTAAAAAGTGAAGAGCCTTTGAGGTAAGGACCACAATATGTTGTTATTAAGTATACAGTGTGGAGGCATAACTTTATAGTGTTATTAAACGGTATAATTATTTTTTGATATTAAAATAGGATACGCCTTTGCTCCACCAAGCTACTTTGCTACTTTTTTTATACACGACAAATATGGTTCGATATGGTAAGTGCATTAGAAATAGCTTTTCGTGGAAACTTTGCAATTAAATATTATGATTAGAAATGTAATATATATTACACTTTTATTTGCAATTTTACAAGTGTGCTCGAAAACGTTTCTAAGTCGTAAGAACGTAATATTATAAAGACCTCAGTCTAGCACTATAATTCTCTTTCAGCCTAGCTAGTCTGGTTAAGGAATGTCATGAGTTTGGGATCAGGTTTTTGTAGTTACTTTGTGAAATAATGACTGAGTATACCCAGTTTTCCAACTTTATGAACTGTTTTTTCTTTTTCTATGTGGTATATTTGACTATGATATGAAAAGATATTCACTTATATTAAGAAATAAGCCCCGGGCCATGGCTGAACACTGGTGGTAATGAATATTTTCAAAATGATGTTCATTAAAGGGGACATGGATAAAAGTTTCGGAATTCTATCAGATTCCATCTTCAGTATCTAAAGCAGAATAAATGAATTTA